CCATTTGAATGACTAAAAAATAATATCAATCAAAATGTTTACGAACCGTTTAAATAATAATTTATTAAGGGGGTTAATTCAAGAGCAAAAGTATGAATTCCATAAATATATGATTGAAAATATGTTTGAAGAAAAATAAAATTTAAAAAATGAAAACCAAACATGTTAACAAATGAATATATTTATTTTTTGAGAAATTGGTTTTTATCACTATTTTATTTTTATCATAAAATGATTCTAATCTTAATATGTTAGATTGTGCTTCAAAATTATATAATCTATCAAATATAATTTTTAAAATTAAGATTGTGCTTCAAAATTGTATAATCTATCAAATATAATTTTTAAAATTAATTTTTATAAAGTAATATGTTTTTATTATATTTTTTTTGGAATGTATAATATAATAGTACTAAAAAATATAAAATAATTAAAATTTTATTAATTTTATAATATAATATGTTATGGAGGCTCATGTTTGAGCCTCCTCCGTGTAACGGAGGCTCCACAATTTCTTCCATTAGTATGGAGGCTCATCTTGAGCCTCCAGAGCATGAGCCTCCATTATTACTTTACTTAAAAAAAATAAAAATCATAAAAACATATTACTTTATAAAAATTAATTTTAAAAAGTATATTTGATAGATTATGTAATTTTGAAGCACAATCCAATATATTAAGATTAGAATCATTTCATGATAAAAATGAAATGGTAATAAAAATCCATTTCTTGAAAAATAAATATATTCATTTGTCAACATGTTTGGTTTTCATTTTTTAAAATTTATTTTTCTTTAAACATATTTTCAATCATATATTTATGGAATTCACACTTTTGCTCTTGAATTAACCCCCTCAATAAATTATTATTTAAACGATTCGTAAATATTTTAATTCATATTATTTTTTGATCAACCAAATGGTTACTATATACATTTTACGTACATATATAAAAATAATATTTTTATTTAAACTTACTTATGTGCTCAAAAATAAACTTTCTTTGGTAAAAGAGATAGTGTGGAGAAATAGAGAGGTATGACTGTAGCGTGTAAAAATGGAGAAAGAGTAAAGTAGGCTCTATGACATAATCCTCGCCGCGTAAATTGAGGAAAATCAACAACACGTAAAATAAACGACGTCGTTTCTTTCTCTCAATAAAAAAAAAAAAGTTACAGTAAGACAAAATGGAAGAATATACCGTTCTTTCTAAAGTAGTGAAATATTGCCCTTTTTATATAGTAGTGATAAACAAGAAAGTGTTGAAAGGAAGAAACACCCGTACAAAGAGAAATTCACCCGAAAAATACACGTTGAATTAATAAGTATAAATGTTTATCTTCATTAACAACTTAAAACTTTTAGTTGACAATGTTAGATGCGGAATAAAAATAGACAAATTTCTCATTAAATTTCCATGCATCAAACATTCGATAAGTAATGAATTTTAGGTGACAAATAAAGTTATACTTGACAAAAATTATATCCACCAACTTTTCAAAATTCCGTGCATAAGAAAGAGAAATTTAGCTTGCACATATCTAAGCGCGTTGAATATAAAATCTAAAATTTTTAAGGTTATCATATATAACGATCTCGAGAATTTTACTTTTTTAAAGTAAGTCTTGTTTGAGCTATATTATTGGAATGAAAATGCATTTTCGAATAGTGTGTTGATGAGAAATGTGTGATTAAAAAATAAGAAAATTTTTAGATTTACGTGTAATATTATTTCATTGAAAAATGTGTGGTTGAAATTATGTTAAATTACTGTGGAAGAATTTTTTTTTATTTTTTATTTTTTAAAATGTAGCTCAAACAGAGCCTAAATACCAAATTACTTTTTAACTAAAATATCCTTTGGTCCTTGTTTCATCTTCATTATACAATAATTCATTTTTTTATACTCATTTTCAATCACGCATTTTACTAATAAAATAATTTGTACATAAATTTAAAATATTAAGTCATCTTTTAATCACACATTTTAAAAAAAAATTACAATTACAAAATTCATTTTAACATGGTAATAGGGGTCAAACCCTTCACTGAGAAAAGACTTTTCAGGGAGAAATTAGAACACAAGTAGTACGGTACTGACGCATGTTTGGTACAACCTTGGACGCGGTTGTTCACTAAACCTCGTGTAATTTTTAACCTTTTTTTCTTCTTCAATACTGACATGACTTGTTTGGTTTTAATCAAATTTAAAAAGGTTGAACCCCAATCTTAAGAATCTTACCGTCTCGGCTCTAGAATTTTGTGAGGAAGATAAATCGTGGAATTTGTTCCAACAAGTAAGGAAATAAGAGCTGTATGTACACTGCGTTTACAAGGAATTCAATTTCATATTTCAAGAATAGAACCCCCATATTGCAGCTGTTAGCAAGGCGTGAAATAACCTCACACCTATCATTTACACCACTGGACTATGCCCCGAGAGGCTTGATTTTTATCACATTTCCAAGTAGAAAGGGTGGAGTGCGAGGGTGCCACTGAAAATCATTGCTTTCATTTCATGCTATTCATTCAAATCAAGTAGTTAGTAAGAATTAATGAAAGGATTAGAGGTTGATAGAGACTTAAAGCTAAGCATGAAATGTACTAATCAACAGATTAAGGAACTTTGCTTCTTACCAACCCAACCCAGTTTGTGAGTTGTCACTTACCAAAAAAAGGAGATTAGGTTAATTATACATTGGGGGACCATTAATAGAGCATCTTTTAGGTTCTAAAGACGCTTTTTCTCATATTAATTGGTCGCAAGATTTTATTTTTTATTACCTCGAATACGATGAAATAGGATGATTATAGCCTTTTCTTAATATATTAACCCCACAAAAGTATCTCAAGGATAAAGATTTCCCACTTCGAAGGAAGGTTTTCCATTAGCCTAAACCATATCTGAGACTCTCTCTCTCTCTCTCTCTTTCTTTCTTTCTTTCTTTTATTTATTTATTTTTTTTTAAATCCGAAACATGTGGTTTGGATGAATGTAGTGAATTAAGATGAATTAATTATATCCATATCCCTAATAAATAGATAAACCCCCGAATATTATCTCAAAATTCTAGGATTTTTTGTAATTGTAAGTCATCATAGTAGCAAAATAACATATCAAAGTTAATAAGCATCTTAATTAGGTCTAAGCAGGCTTTTCTCATTTAATTTGGTCACAACGGGTTATTTTACTTCTGATGTGATGAAATCGGATGATTTGTAGCTTTGTTCAAATAAAATGAACATAAATAACATATTATAATTATAAGATTTTGTCTTCAACTTTTTTTTTAAAATTTTTTTTACCTTTAATTTGATGAAATGGACAAATTAGTTGTAACTGTTACGCCCTTATCTGAACCGCCTCGGAATGCCCACCACCACACATTCCGATCTGATAGACATCTATCCGAAGTGTTTCCGAAGTGATCTCACCAATGTCAACGATCTGATAGCACACTGCGAGACATAGGCGATTCTGCTGAACTGACTGAAGCGCCCTCGCCCCTGAGGCCGAGGCGAAGTGGACCTCTGTCAGAAGATCCGTCGCCAATTTTAGAAAGAGATTTTTGCCAAAATCCTTTCTGCACCTAAGGTTTAAATTGATTTGACGTCTCCATGAGGCTAGTTGATGTGACTTATTAACTTTATGTCAACTCAATTCGGGAGAAACAAACTGTCCGTCCACTCTACAGACGCGGTTGATTGACGTCTATGAGCGGACGCCTCATACCGTCAGATGTATACACGTGTCCCACATCCAACATTTCATCCCACCTATAAATACCCAAAGTTTGGTAAGAGGCAAAGGTAATGAAACTCTTACTACATAGCACTCCATAGCAAGTTTATATATTTTTTCCTCCTCCTTAGTGTTTTTGACACAACCTCTGGGTACTGTTTCGACCATCCGAACCTGACTTGACCGTTGGAGTGTATATGGACACCACCCCCGCTGGTCCCAGCCGTGTGCGTCTGACCGTGCGTTGATTGTGCGCAGGGAGGAATATGTGGAGTAGCTATCGGTTGGCCACGTGAAAGGTCCAATTTTCGAGGTCAACAGATTGGCGCCGTCTGTGGGAAACACTTCCCGTTCAAAGTTCTGCATTCTCCACCGGAGAAGTTATCGAAAAACTAGCGATTAACCTTGAAAAGGGCACGTTCTTGAAAAAGAACAAAGTCGAGTTACAATTCAAGTTCTCACCACCCTTGAAAAAGGAGATAGGATGAGCTATAGCCATGAAAACGACAACCCCATGAGAGAGGCCTCTAAAGAAGAGGTGCTCCATAACAATGTTACTCATTAGAGACCCCATCACCGGCATCGTCGAGGTGGAAGAACAGCCATACTCATTGAAGAAATGACTCAAATAGCTGCGAGTATGAGAGATATCGCAGCTCAGAATATGGCAATGCATGAACTCCTCATGCAAGCCCGAAGTCACCCGGGCTCTCAAATGCCCTAAGGACCTTACCCAGTGCAGGAAGCCCCAGTATCTCGTTCCCGAGGCCACACCAGTCAGCATAGAGAACGCCCCCTCGAAAGAGAAGTAGGCGTCGAGGCCACATCTTATGTGCAAGGGAGCCAGCCATCAGAACCCCACTTGAGGGATAACTTTCCTCAAGAATATGAAGAACAGAGATCCGTAAGTGTCTTCGACCGGATAGGGAAGGATCCTAGCAATAGGGTCCACCCAGTGAGTAGATCAGTTCGGCCGGATCAGGAACAATAATAGGGCCCTCCTCCTCCTAGAAATAGGAGGGACAAGAGGAACCTAGTTAATTGGAGGAGTTGAGGAGGGGCACCTCCACCTCCCCAAAACATTCACGATGATGAAGGGTCAGATGGGCCCTGTCGATCTTATGAGATTGATGATGATGACGATAACCTCCCTTTCTCAAAGGAGATCCGAAGCTTCCCAATGCCAGCAAATTTCATGCCCCCTAAGATCCCCAAGTATGAAGGAAAGGGGGACCCAGAGAAGCACCTCACCAAGTACATGACACAGATGAGCTTAAGGGGAGCCTCGTTCGCTTTGAAATGCAGAGCCTTCCATTTAACACTAGGCGGAGCCGCCGAAGTGTGGTACAACAGGCTTCCTCCCTTAAGCACTAGAAGTTGGCCAGATTTGAAGAACGCATTCTTGAACCAATACCTCTCACGCAGAGAAGGAGAGGCACCAATGCAACACCTACAAGATATGAGGCAGGCCCCCGGGGAGACGCTGAAAAGCTATCTCTCCAGGTTTACAGATGAAATCAAGGTCACTGACAGAGAAGCCCTTTCAGCCCTGAAAGGTGAGTTCAACATGAATACTTTGTTCTGGAGGGACGTGCGCAGCAAGAATCCCTCCACCTATGATGAACTGGTGGAAATGATGAGAGTGGAAATTGTGAGTGAAGAAATGATTGATCACCGAAATCTTGCCGCGCAGGGACTCCCTCCGCCTCAGAGGTAGGTAGGTCGAGGACTCGCAGCATACCTTGTTACTCAGCAATGGACTCAGGTAGGTCACACAATAGCTCCCACCTCCGGATAGGCACTGGCTTCTGCCACACTAAATGCAGTGCCGGTATTGGCATATGAAAATGCTCCTGGCAAAGTAGGGCCATCTGGAAGAACCGATAGCAAGAAAAAGAAGAAGAAACGATCAAACAGGCCCTTGGAAGGAGCAAGGTTTTGTACTTTTCATCAACTATATGAGCATGACATCAATGAATGCAGAGACGCTCCTCGACGCTCAGATCGGATCGACCCACATCTCTCCAGGAGGAATGACTATTATCGCAGATTTGTTTCCCCGAACAGGAGAGATCGAAGGCACAGAGAGCAGTCACCCCGGAAAAAAGAATCTCGGGACCGAGGAGAGTTCAGACAGAGAGATCAGGCCACATTTGCTGGGGGCCAAGTCATCAGGGAAATCGACACTATCATTGGGAGACCTCACATCGGCGGCAACACAAGGAATGCCCAAAGGAATTATACAAGAGAAACGAATGACCCACCAATGATCACTTACATTGTGAACGAGTCCCAAGAGGCCAATAGGATGGCCCCAATTTCATTCTCCCAAGAAAATGCTCAGGGAGTTCACCATCCCCATTGCGACGCACTGGTTGTGAGAGCCGTAGTGGCCAGAAACGGGCTCAAACGTATGCTCGTCGACAGTGGAAGTTCGATGAACAAATTCTTCAACTCCACCTTTAACAAAATGCAGATTGAACATGGGTTGATCCCCATGACCGACCCACTATTTGGATTCACTGGAGATAGTATCGTGGCAAAACCATGGAAGTCTACATGGACAACATGCTAGTCAAAAGCCTCTAAGCAGCTGAACATGTAAGTCACCCGACCAAACTTTTCAGATACTTAGAAAGTATAATATGAAATTGAATCCCCTCAAGTGCACCTTTGGAGTGGCATCGGGTCAGTTTTTGGGGTATATTGTCAATCGAAGAGGAATTAAAGCAAATCCAGTGAAAATAATGGCCTTGCTAGAGATGAGGTCACCTTAGAAACCAAAGGAGGTCCAAAGCCTCAATGGTCGGATAGCTGCACTCAGTCGCTTCATCTCCAGGGCCACAGATAAAAGCTTACCTTTTTTCAATGTGCTGAAACAATGAAAGAAATTCCAATGGACTTCGGAATGTAAGGAAGCCTTCCAGGCGCTGAAAAAGCACCTCGGAGAGGTGCCTCTCTTGTCAAAACCTCAATCGGATGAGTAACTACTGCTGTACTTAGCGATTTCACTGTCCTAGTCAGAGAAGAAAGTGAGCGCCAGTTGTCAGTGTACTACGTCAGCAAAGCACTTCTCCCAGCTGAAACACACTACCCAGACATGGAGAAATTTGCACTCGCCCTTATCACAGTCTCACGAAAACTGAGGCCGTACTTCCAGGCCCACTCGATCGAAGTTCTCATCAATTTCCCATTGAAGCAGGTGATGCAGAAAACAGACGCATCAGGGCGCCTGCTAAAATGGTTGATCGAGCTCAGTGAGTTCAATCTATTATTCCGACATCGACACGCCATCAAGGGCCAGGCCCTCGCAGACTTTATGGTTGAGTTTGCTAAAGCCCCAGAAATGGAGGTGACAATGGAACTAGCTGAGCCCCCTACATGGAAAGTTTTTGTTGATGGGTCCTCAAGAGAGACTAGCTTAGGGGTAGGGATCGTCTTGGAAAGGCCGGAGGGCCACAAGCTAAACTATGCAGTAAGGTTCGGCTTCAAAGCTTTGAACAACGCCGCTGAATACGAGGCCCTTCTGGCAGGTCTTAGACTTGCTAAGGAGATGCGGGTCCGAAGTCTCCTTGCGAGCAGTGACTCTCAACTTATAGTGAACCAGGTCAAAGGAAACTTTACAGCCGAAGATGGTAGCATGATTACGTACTTGAAGTTGGTTCTGGACCTAGTTCCTCATTTTGAAAGGTTCGAACTGACTCAAATCCCCCGCCTAGAGAATGCACATGCAGATGTCCTTTCAAAATTGACCAGCAGCCAGGATTTAGAGCTACTAAAGGTCGTCCCTATTGAGCACTTATCGAAGCCCTCCATTTCTGGAGGTGAAGAAGTACTATAGATAGAAGGCACCCTATTATGGATGCAGCATATCATCGTCTACCTGAAGGATCAAACATTGCCTGCTTCTAGAAGCGAGGCGAGGAGGTTAAGAAGAAGGGTGACACACTTTGTCCTGCAAGAAGATACTCTTTATAAGAGAGGCTTCGCCTTGCCACTTCTTCGATGCGTGGGAGGTGAAAAGGCCACATACATACTCAGGAAAATCCATGAGGGAATTTGTGAAAATCACTCCGGAGGAAAGGCTTTGGCACACAAGGTTCTCCGTCAAGGCTACTTCTGGCCGACCCTGAAAAGTGATGCTTGCCATTTGTCCAGAAATGTGACAGGTGCTAGCGCTTCTCAAACATACAAAGACAGCCTACTTAGAGCCTTTCCGTAGTAACTAGCCCTTGCCGATTCGCCAGTGGGGCATTGACTTCATTGGTCCGCTCTCAAAAGGAAGAGAAAGCGCAACTTTCGCCATTGTCGCCATTGACTACTTCACTAAGTAGGTCAAGGCTGAACCCCTTGCCAAGATCACCAAGGTGAACACTACTAAATTCGTCTGGAAGAACATCATTTGTAGGTTCAGCATTTCCCACTCCTTAGTGTCTAGCAATGGAAGGTAGTTCGACAATAGGAAGATGCGAGACTTATGCGACGAGCTAGGCATAAAGAAGGACTTCTCAACGCCTCATCACCCCCAAGCAAATGGGCAAGTTGAAGCAGTGAACAAGACTATCAAGTATACCCTAAAAAGGAAGCTTGACACCTCAAAGGGGGCATGAGTTGACGAACTCCCCCACGTCCTCTGGCTATCAGAACTTCTAGCCGAACTGCAACAGGTGAAACACAATTTTCCATGACCTACGGAGCCGAGGCCATGAGCCCGATCGAGGTCGGGGTCCCATCTCACCGTCGGATGCACTTCAATGAGATCAGCAACGATGATGCTCGAATAAGTGAACTGCACCTCTTTGAGGAAAAGAGGGATGCCTCCCAAGTAAACTTGGCAAAGTATCATCGAAAGATGACCCGCTATTATAACTCCAAGGTCAGAAACAGAACTCTTTGCCTGGGCGACCTCGTCCTCAGAAGGGTCTTTCAATCTTCAAGATCGATCGGGTCAAGAGTGTTTGGACCAAACTGGGAGGGCCCTTACCGCATCTCGACCTGTTACTTTTGAAATTGAAGACATGGCAAGAAAGGCACTGCCTCATCAATGGAACATCGAACACTTGAGGGAGTACTATCAATGATGAGCCTTTGTTCCGATCCAATCTCAATACTGTCTAATGAATCGATTGTTCTGATCTGATCTCAGTTGTAAATTTCCTAGCTTACTAAGTGCTGGAATTGCCTTGGTAAAGTGTGGTATAATTTATCTCAAGTAATGAAACTTCAGTTCTGTGCCACATCGGTTAGTAAATAGTTTCCTTAGTCCTTCAATATATTTACTTAAGTGATCCGATCTTCAATTATTAACTGATTAACGTTAAGAGGTTCTTCGTGTTTGCTTAAGTGGTCCGCTTCATATTAACTTAAGTGGTCCGATCTCAAATTGTTAACCGGTTAGCGTTAAGAGTCGCTTCATGTTCGTGTAAGTGATTCAACTTATATTAAATTGAGTGGTCCGATCCTCAATTATTAACTGGTTATTGTTATGAGGCGCTTAGTTTGATGTTTGTCATTCATACAAGTATAAACGGATCCAAAAGGTAAGAAAGCAGAAGCATAAATACTTAGCAAAAAAATTTCATTTCATTTAATAAGAATTGAAGTACAAGAAGGTCGAAGCCATTACAAAAGATGGCCCTATTCTAGTGGAGGGACCTCTACCTCGACCGCTTCTGCATCGACTGCCTCCGGGGCCTCTGGAGCTTCTTCAGCAAGCCTATCAGACCAACCTCTAGTTGGTCCCCCGAACTCTGCCTCCAAAGAGGAGATGTCCAGAGTGGGGTGGACCTCTTTCAGTCGACCAAATAAGCCTTGGGCACTCCAAGAGGCCCAAAAATTGGTGAAGTCATCATACAGGGGATGGTCTTCGAAATGGTCGATGAAGTTTTGAATTGTCACTTCTCCTGCAGACTTCAACTCCTCCTTCAAGGAGGCAATCTCTTCAGACCGAGCCTCTGTCTTCTGCCTCAGCTCCGTCTTCTCTTTGTTTGAGGCCTCCAGAGCTTCGGTGGTGAGCTTGTGGTGCTCGTTGGTGTGATCAACTCATCGAGACATAGCAACCACTTGGCACTCCACCTCGTATAACTCCTTCTTCAGTCGCTCCACTTCTGCTTTGGCGACAGTTAGCTAGGCCTCGGCCTCCTTCTTTCCCTCCTCCCCCTGCGTGGCCTTGGCCGGGGCCTCTCGTACGGCATCCCCATATTGCATCACCTCCTCAAGGATTTGGTAAGGTCCTCCCTCTTGGAGTTCAGATTGTTCACCAGGCCCTCGAGTTGGATGCTTGTACTCAGGGCCCGAGCCACGCAGGCGCTATTGGCAGCCACCAAGTCTTCAGCTGTGCAGGAGGCGGTGTGGTCCCTCAACTCCTCGCTCCAATATTTGTTGTGGACCACCGCCACTACAACTGTTTCTGGAGGAAGGGCCTCCAACACTACCCTCACTGGCTCCTCTGAATTTGTGCCCTGAAAGTCGACCTCCTTAGAGGGACGGCCACTTTTCCTCTTCTGCTGCCCCGACACTTGAGCCATTGGCACGGCAACAAGTGGTGTTGTGGTCGGGGTAGTGGCAGCCTCAGATGGCACAGGCCTCTTCTCCGGAATGACCACCCTGGTTGGAATTGTGGTCTTCTTCAGAACGGGGGTGGCCTCGCCACAGTTGGGCGCTTTGGAGGGGCGGCGCTCTTCTTGCCCTTCCTCCGTAGATCAGCCTCCGGGTCCTTCGGTACCTCCTCCTCCGTCGAAGGTTGAAGCCTCTTACTGACATCCACCAGATCCTCCATTTGCTTCTTGTAGGAGAAGGAGGAGGTCTTCAGTGCCCGTGCCTCTGCCATCATCCTCTGGATGGTCTTAAAGTCGAGGCGCACGGGACATCTTCTTATTAAAATTGTCTGCAAGGAACGAATGACGAATTAGTACAAGTGTTAAAAGTTCAGAATAAAGGGTAAAGACTTCGGTTCAGTTACCTTGGGATGCCATCAAGTCGTGTGTAACGAAGTGAATGTTCTTTCGGATCAGCCGATGATATGACCTCTTCTTTTGAGGCAGCTGATAGATGATGCCGATGGTGTCAAAGTCTTCGAAAGACAGTTCGCACAGAGGAAGGGTACCTACAAAAGAAATGCAAATATTAGTCACGGTTCGAACTGAAGAGAAATATAAAGAAAAGTAACTACTATACTCACTAAGTGTTGAGTACTTCGTCGGGACCGTAAGAGGCGCCAGGGGGTCTCCCTCCATCGTGTCCCATCGCCCAGTGGCCCAGCACCACGAGTTCTTCCATTCTTTGATGGAGCTCGGCATATTGAGCACGAATGGAGTGTGGGAACCCCATGAAATAAGGTAGTACCACCCCCGAGTCTTATCCCCCCTATTATCGCCTCGGCTATTTCTGAAGAGGTCGCCACATTGGGCTCGTCCATTCTCACTAGTTCTAACCCCCTCCCCGAACCAGAACTCCCATCAGAAGCCATTTCTCAGAAGTTAAAAATCCTAAAAGGTACTGAAACTTATGAGTTTGAAGGTTTTCCTAGCCGAAAATGGTGTATGGTCGCTGGATGTTGGTATTTCTCGCCGGAAG